CGCGGGGCTGATCGCAGGGCGCGGCCACGCGGGCCGCCGACTCAAGCGCGGCCTTCTTTTGATCGCCGACGAGCACGCGCGCGAGTGGCGGGTGCTCGAGCCTGGTGTCACACGCGCGCCATCATGCTCGACGACTGCAGCCTCGCGCGCCACGACCCCATGGCGCAGGTCGCAGCGCCATTGGCAAGGGCCAGGAGGATGGCGCTGCACGGCCTGAAAGGGCTAGGCTGAAAGTGCCCACGGACAAGAGCGAGCTCCTCGCCAGCTCGCCCCCAGCAGCGGCGTTGGTGGCGAAGTTTTTAGGAGCGGAGGCCCCCCCACCACCACGGGCAGCGCGAAGAACCTGGGGGCGGACTACTGCCTCGGCGGCCAAGCGCACTACATCACAGCAGGATGACACTAGAAGGCTCGCGAGGCCGTTCGCAGCCCAGGGGCATGAGCGGCAGGCAGGCTGGCCGATACAGGCCTGAGGCCCATGACGCGCCATGGTGTCAGCGCGATCGCCTGGCCCACGCCCACGCTGCAGCGCCGGCGCAGCCACGCCAGCGCACCTCGCCACGGACGTGCTGATGGACGCAGCATGAGCCTCAGCTACCGGCCGCTCCAGGGCCAGCGACCCCATGCTGGACCACGCGGCGCTACCCATCGTAGCAGGGGCCACGGCGCTCCAGTACGGCAAGGACGCCAGCGAGTTGGGGGCTTTCGGCAGCAGTTGCAGCAAAGCCCGCGCGTGTCTGCAGCAGCGAGGTCCAGAAGCGCCGGTGGGCGCGGGGCCAGCACCTGCTCTGGCCCTCGCGCACCACTGCTTGGGCTGAGTTGACCTGCGCATTCCGGGAGCCTCGACTCCCACCAAGATGGCCCCAGCGTCCCACGCGCGCCTCCTGTGGAGGGACGCGAGCCGACACCCAGGCCCGGGGCACCTCAGCTCAGGAGGGGCACTGATCGGCATCAAGACGGTGCTGCACCGCAAGAGGACCTCCAAGCAGATGGTCTAGGCGGTGAGCTCCACGACCAGCGCCCTTTTGGGCAGCGTGTGGCCAGCGCCGCGGCGCGCATCGCTGGACAGGCCGCTCGCTGCGTCACCCACGTGCCCCAGGGGACGCGGCTAGCTGGGCACTGCGCGCCACCGAGCGCGGCAGCGCGAGGCCTCGGAAGAGGCCAGGCAGGAACACATCGCCAACAACGACATCGCCGAGAGGAAGCCGCCCGGCGACATTCCCTTCAGCACGATCGTCGCCATGGCCGAGGGCAGCGATGGGGGGGTGCCATTTGGTCTCGGGGATTGGCTCCTGAGCATCGCCGAGGCACCCCTCCACCAGCCACTGAATGCAGCGCGCGCCGCGTCGGCGCAGCTGGCGCGGTCGGGCAGCCACTCGCTGGCAACACCTTCGCGGATGGCTGCGTCGAGGAGCCCAATACATGCGCTGCGCGTGCTGGCTGGAGTGCCCCTGCGGTGGCACAAGACGGCGATTTTGCGGCGCAGTTCGGCCCAGCCCCTGGCCCGCGCCTACAGGAGTCAGGGGCGGCCGAGCTCCTGGCGCGCATCGAGGCGCCACAAGCATGCCTGCCGCCAGTGCGCAGCTACACAGATTGCAAGATGCTGGCGGACCCCTACCGCGCCGGACGGCAGTGGAGCCTACAATGGCGCCAGCAGCACCGCGAGCTGCGGACACGCTTCTGGCACGCGATGGACGACATCCGCGAGGGCGAGGTGCAGATCCAAAAGGTCAAGGCGCACGCTACTGAGGGCGACATCGAGGCAGAGCGCATCGAAAGGTGTCACAAGGCAGGCAACCACGCCGCCGACAGCTGGGCGCAGCACGGCACCGCCAAGCACCCACAGGACGAGGACCTGAGGCGCCGCAGCAGGAGGCAGGACTGCTTGGTGAAAAAGACCTTCCCCTGGATCGGTCGTGCCGTGCAGGCAGGCCACCAGGAGCTGACGGCCGAGGACGGTGAAGGTGGCGCAGGCCTCGAGTCGGTGCGCTGCTCGGTGTGCAACTGCGAGCTGCGCCATCGAGCGTACTGATTTCGTGGTGGATGCAATCGACCCGTCTGGAAGGCATGGCACGTGGATCGACTTGCAAGGGGGGGGATGGCTCGGTCGTGCACCAGCTGCGCGGGCTACGGGTGCCCAGTCGCAGGACCCCCGCCAGCAGCAGGCTGCAGCGATGGCCCTTCCTTCCAGCAGCAGCGGCACTCCATGCAGCAGGAGGCGTTCATTTCCAGTCTAGCCGAAGGGGACGCTCAGCGCGAACATCAGAGCGGCGAGGAAGTAGGCGACAGCATGGCAGCATCGAGCTCAAGCAGCAGCGGGCAGAGCGCGCAGCAGCGGGCAGTGAACATGCCTCTGCCGCCGTAGGATCCGCCGTCGTTTCTGCCATGGACGCTGGAGGTCCCCGGCACAAATCTTCTGTGCCGGGCGGGTGAACCATTTGTTTTGCGTGGTCAGCTGGGCATGGACAAAGCGCGCCTGGTAGGGCTCAGCAGACCATGCCTGCAGGGACCCAGTGCGAGACAGGCAGCAGTTCTCTCGCGTCTGAAAAGGGGCCTGGCCCAAACTGGCTCGGGCAGCCAAAGCGCCCCGCAGCCGCTCGTTCGCAGAGGCCGCTCCAAGAGCCCACGGCGCAGGCCTGGGAGCCAGGGTGGTTAGCTCTTTGTGTTTCATCTCTGGCCGCTTGCGACCTTCCTTCACAGGGTCAGCCTGCGTGGTAGTGGCGGGCGAACCGCTGGAGTGGCTTGTTCACTCCTGGTGTTGTCCCCAAGGGGGGCCGCGTGTGCACAGACCGTTTCAGAGGCCAGGAGCCTGGAAGGCGGCGCAACCTCGGCCGCCCTCCGCCGCTGGCCCGATCCGCCGCGGCGATCAGGGTGCTGCCAGTGGAGGCCCGAATGGGGAGTAGCTCATACACTCAGTGTTGTGCCTCCAGGGCCTAGAAGGGTGCGCAGACGTTCCTGTAGTTGCCAGGCGCCCGTCGGTGCGACTGGCGGGCAAGCTGGGTAAGGCGCAGTCTCGTTTCGCTGTTCTGCCCGCGACCCTCTCACAGGGTCAGCTCGCACGGTAGCGGAGAGGACCTGTTGGAGCAGCCGTTCCACGGCCTTGCCTCCAAGGGGGGATCGGGGTGCACAGGCCGTCTGTTAGGCCAGGGGCCTAGAAGGTGATGCACGCCAGTCCGCCCTCTGCGCCCGCCGCTTGCCGATCCTCGCCTTCGCCGCTCGAGCCTGCCTCCAGTGCGGAGGTCGAACCAGAGGGGTAGCTCGCACACCCCGAGGTTCTGCCTCCAGGGGGGCTCGAGGTGTCCCAAGGCAAGGAGCCGAGCAGGTGGTGCAAGCCAGGTCGCCCGCCCAGCGTAGCGCCGCCGCCATGCGGCAAGAGCACCGTGCGCATGCTGGTACAGCTGTCCTCCGCCTGCCAGCTCTGTGCTTAGCCTTTCGGTGGAGGCGGACCCGTTGGAGGAGCTCGCACACTCCTTTGTTCTGTCTCCAGGGGAACAGGGGTGCACAGACCGTCGGGAGGCATGGAGCCAGAAGGTGGTGCACGCTTGTTGCTCCGTGTCTCCGCTGCGCTTGCGTTGTGCGGAGTTCGAAGCGCTTTGCTGAAGCCTCATGTGATGGCAGCATGCGGCGGTTGGTTGCAACTGGCATGCCCCACGTGCAAGCTTGCCGAGCGCCGTTGATGGCCAGCTGTCGAGGTTTGTCTCCAGACTGTATTTACTGCGATGGACCATCATCATCATCATCATTACCATCATCATCCTCAGCATCAGCATCATCACCACCATCCTCATAGCCATCATCATCAGCAGCAGCATCATCAGAATCGTCATCAGTACCAGCATCATCAGCATCATCCTCATCATCAACATCGTTATCACAACCACAATTATCATCAGCAGCACAATCAGTTTCTTCATCGTCATTGTCATCACCATCATCATTGCCATCACCATCACCATCACCATCACCACCACCATCATCGTCATCATCATCACCACCATCACCATCAACATCATCACCATCACCATTGTCCTGCAACTCTCCCAGCCACCACCTCCCGTCGAAGAAGAAAGTGGCGTGAGCATGAACTTTTGGAGGTCCACATGCGTTTCCCAGATTGGCGTTGGACCCCCCCCCCAGCGCGCGGAACGCGCCAGCGGCGGCGCCAGAGGAGCCGCCCGGGTGTCCAGCGCCGATGCAAGAGATCCGCGTGGGCCTCCAAAAGTGTATGTTTGTGCAGTGTTTCGTTTCTCTATCTGCGTTGTCCTTCTCCTCCTCCCCAGACCCACTCGCGTTGTAAAAAAACGCGACGGGCGTTTTGTCCGCTATCTTCGGCCTCCAGGGGCCCCTACCAGGCCCCAGGACCGTCACAGAACGACTCCGGATGAAAAATTGGTCTCGGGGAAAGGGTCCAAATCTCCTGGGGTCGACGCTGCGAAGAAATTACGACGTCGGGGGTCTGGGTCCAGATCCGCACCCCCTCCCGGTTCATGCTGGTGGTGTGCACCGGCGGGCTCGTGTTTCTGCTGGGGCGCCTGCGGGAAGTGCTGGAGCCCCTCGGGTGGGCGGCGTTCTTCGCGATGCCCCTGACCGGCTTCAGCTGGGGCCGGGAAGCTTGCACTGCCAGGGGGGAAGGCGGAGGATCGGCACGAGCGAACTGGGTACGGAAAGAATGGGTACAATGCCCAATAGCAGTTCCTGTTCATTTTGAACAGGACTCGCTGTCCGCGCCGCCGCCTGCCCAACAGCGGCCGGTGTTGGTTTGGGACAACATTTGTTGTTGGGCATTGTACCTATTTTTTCCGTGCCCATTTCGGGCGTCCAAAAAGGACGGAGGGAGGGTGGGTGGGTCAGAGATTGAGGATCGTACCGAGGCCGCTGCCCACGCTTCGTCGCCACCGCCGGATTCGCCTTCGAAGTCCTGATCGCATCGCAGAGGGGGAAGAAAGAGGAGGGCGAGGGTGCGGAAGGAGGAGGAGGAGGAGGAGGAGAAGGAGGAGAGAAGTCGCTCCTACGCCTTCCTCTCTGCCTCCGCCACCCCCACTGGGGATGTGGGGGGATGGGGGCACCTCGCCGCGAATCGTTCTCGGCCCTGTGGTCTCCCTGCTCGACGCCATGATCGTCGCCCTGTTCCGCCAGGTCTGCTTCTGCGTCTGCAAGCGCAGGAGGGATCGCCAGGCAAGGGAGAAGGCCAACAGGAGAAACCGAGACGTGATCGACTTCCGGGTGCGGGCCTACGAAGGGCACATCCGCCTCAGCGAGGAAGACGCTGCGCGGCTGCTGCGTAAGGTTAAATCGGGCATGTCCCTCCACAGGAGGAATATTCGAGAATAGTAATAAGAATAGTCTGGGGGCGATTTCTCGTGCTCTTTTTGACTATCTTGAATTATCAAAATCAGCCTGTAGGAGGACGTTCCCGACCTGAGCGCAAGGTGAATCGGGTCGGCGAAGGCCTTTGTGCCGCCTGCCCGGTGCGGTCGTTCATGATGCGGGCCTGCACGAGGCACGTGAGCGTGACGGAGCTGCACTTCTCCTCGGAGGCGCCGGCGCAGGCGCTGCGCGCCGATAGCCTCCGCGAGGTGAACCGGATAGTCAAGGGCTGGAAGTATTACGTCCGACGCGAGGATCCCGAGGGGGGTCGGGATCAGGAGGGGAACCAGGTGCTGTTGGGACTCTACCTGGACAAGGCCGGCCGTTACCCCGCCATCGCTGATCCAGCGAGGAGCCCGTTCGCCATGCGCGGGAAGGTTGAGGTAGACAAGTCTCACATAGCGTCTTATGTATGTGCGGTTCTAGTGGCAATGATGTGGATCATGGTTGTAGTTATCGGTGTCATGTGGTTGATTTCAGTAGGCGAGAAGGCAATTGAGAGCAATGTAAAGGTGTACGTGAAGGGAGGCAGGCAGTTAGTGGAGAGTCTCAATGAGTACGCTCAAAAGTACCTTCCACATGGTACGCTCGATGGCGTGGATGCCAGAATGGAGAGTGCCATGAAGGAGCGTTTGCCAGAGCTTGCTTCGGCAGTATTGGAGCAGGGACAGGGATTCGGTTTCGAGATCTTGTTGTTCTTGCTGTACTTGCTTTTCTGGGTTCTGGAGCCACTTCCTGTCAACACTCGGGTCTCTGGAGTGTTCAAGACCTACTTGTTGCAGAAGACACTAGTCTGCCTGATATCCAGCAGCATTCGGCTCATCCCGCCACCGTGCTTGGGTTGTGGGTTTAGAGGGCACAATCGGGGCAGTCGAAGCCAAGAAAGCATTCCCAGCGGTGTTTCTGGAAGCTTCTATGGATAGCTCCCCAGACAATGGTTCTAGAAAGACTGCGATTACTTGGGGTGACGTCTTGGTCGGGGCCTGCCTGGGGCCACTTGGGGGCCTCTTGGGGGATTGTTGGTAGTGTTGGGGCCCTCTTGAGGTGAGGAGAGGGCGGAATCCCTGGCATGTTCCCGGGGTCCATTCGGGGCCCCTCTTGGGGCTGTTTTGAGGGCCTCCTGGGCCGCCCCCCCCCCTTTGGCACCACCTGTTGCATCTGTCGGGCCGAACTGGCAAGATCTTAGGGCGGGGCTAGGATTAAGACGGGCCTGTCCCTCAGGGTGCCATCGCGAGGGGCGCTGGAGGCGGAGACCAGCGGCGGGGGAGGAAGAGGAGAGGGAGGAGAAACGGGTTAAACAAGGAGAAAGGAGGAGGAGGAGGAGGAGGAGGATCGAAAAGGGGAGGATCGAAGAGGGGAGGAGGAAGAAATTCGACGAGGTGGAGAGGTGGAGGACTAGGAGGAGCAGCAGTAGGACGCTTGTATTCTCAAACGCGGCCCCAGGGCCTCAACAAAAGCCGCGCGGAGGACCCATCGGAAGCACGCAGGGGAGCTCCAAGAGAGCCCCAGGCCCCGGCGGGCTTGGTGCCCCTGAGCCCGTGAAGGGAAAGGAGGGGTTTGGAAAGCTGGTTGGCCGTGGCGGATGCGTCCCGCCCCCGGCGGCTCTTCGACGAGCGTGTTTCTTTATTGTTTCGGGCATGACGGGCGTCATTGCCCCCGCCGCCCCCCCCCCCCTTGACGTAACGCTCCCTCCCCAGTGCGCTCTGGGCACTGCCGCCGTGCGCATCGAGATCCGCACAGGTGTCCGCATAGGAATCCGCATAGGAGTCTGGTCCGCAGTCGTCGTCATCGTTGTCGTCGTCGTCCTCGGCCTCGTCCTCGTCCTCGTCCTCGTTGTCGTCGTCGACGTCGTTGTCGTCGTCGTGGTCGTCGCTCGTCGCTCGTCGCTCATTGTTGTCGTGCGGGTGGACGCGGCTGGAGCCTGTTTTGCTTTTTGGGCTGATGACGGCAATCATCTTGGAGGGGGTGTAAGGAGCCGATGACGTCACGTTTCGCGCCAGCGGCGTCTAGGAGTGCCTAGGAATGACCGAGGACGGATCGCAGCAGCATGTAGGTGGCGATCTGCACCAAAACGCCTGCGTACACCACAGCGTCTGCGTACACCACATCAGCCGTGCGCAACACAGCACCAGTGTACACCACAATGCTTGCGTGCACTACAGCGAGTGTGTGCACCACGGCGCCTGCGTGCACCGGAACAACTGTATGCAACAGAGCGCCTTTGTTGCACATAGAATGTTCGAGGGAATCCTTATGACAAAATGGAGCGCTTGTGGAGTCCACAGAAAACAATTGTTTCACATAGGATTTGGAAAGGAATCCGTCTGGAAAAAGGAACGCCGCTGGAATCTACGAGTCGTCCCGAGTCCGCAGGCATCATCCTAGCTCCTCCCATCTGCGTCCAGGAGGCTCCATCTAAATTGGCCGTTCGAGAACCAAGTGGACTGATTCAATAAACCATTATGCGGTGCACGTTGAGATGCGCACGTGCGCTGTCCCGCACGACAGGGGGGAAGTGTGAGGGAGGAGGAGGAAGAGGAGGAGGAGGAGGAGGAGGTGGAGGTGGAGGTGGAGATGGAGGGAGGAGGGAAAAACGTCGCATTTTATTGTCAAGACTTCCTCGGCGTGGCGCTTAGTCCGCAGCTGATCCTCATTTATATGTTCCTTCTTGTCCTGTGCACGCAGGCGCTGTGGTGTACACCAGCGCTGCGTTGCACGCGGATGTTGTGGTGTAGACAGGCAGTGCAGTGTGCACAGGCGCTGCGGTGCACGCAAACTGTGTTGCACATGGTTGCTGTGGTGTGCACATTCGCTGTGGTGTACACTGGCGCTGTATTGCACGCAAGCGCTGTGGTGTACACGCTGCGTTGCACACGGCTGTTGCGGTGTACGCGGGCTCTGTGGTGTACACGTGCGCTGTGGTGCAAGCGAGCATTGTGGTGTACACAAGCGTTGTGGTGCTCGCGTCGTCGTCGTCGTCGTCGTCGCTCGTCGCTCGTCGCTCGTCGCTCGTCGCTCATCGTCGTCGTGCGCGCGGGCGCGGCTGGGGGGGGGGGGCGTTACGTCATTCCCCCCCACCCGAAATGTATCATTGCGTGTCATTGGCTAGCATTGCAATGCGCAGCGTTGTGTGGCGTAGACGTGCCTAATCATCCATACCGCGAATACCACATGTATTTTGTAGCATCGTGGGCTCCTCATCCGGCGATGCGCAACACGACTGCTTCAGCTGCGAGTGGGGCGCGCAAGCCACACTAAATTTGAACGCGCGTTGATTGCTCTCCAACCGAAGCCAGCGCACCCGCAGACGAACCAACACACACAATCCCATCAGTGGCGAGGTGGCGGCGTCGTCGCGAGCACTGAGATGGTGGCACACGTAGTCGAACTTCACATGGCGTAAGCAGGTGGGTAGATTTGAAGGTGGGTAGATTTGAAGATGCAATCGCGCGGCACCTACACACATGTATATGTATATGTATGTGGATATATGTATATATGTATATGTGTGTGGATGTATGCATGTATGTATGTATGTGTGTATGTACGTATGTATGTGTATGTATGTCTACATATAGATGGCCCTCTCGAGACTATTCGCACTAGGCACAGCTGGCGGACGCGCAGGCGCGGCGGGCCCCTCGGCGCGGACAGGGGCACGCACTCACACGCGCGCACACACGCAGTAACAAGCCTCTGCCGATCGGCGCGGGCCCTCGCACCCCCAGGAAACGCCGAATGAGACCTCGCGCGCAGCGACGGGGCGGGGAGAGCCGCCCAGCGAGCGGGCGCGCGCGCGGCGGGTCCTTCAGAGCGGACAGGGACACGCGCACACGCGCGCGCATACGCAACCAAACAGACACACACACACACACACACAACGCGATCGTTTTCTCATTCGTTACTCTGCCGATTGGCGCGGGCCCTCGCACCCCACCCGTGGAGTAGATCTCGGCTGGTTTGGGCGCCCGTTTCCATCGGGCGGAGCAACTGCTGGGGCCCCATCCCACCGTGTGATTCCCCATGGGGAACACCTGCTCCAAACAGTCGCACGAAGCAGAGGTTCAGAGCCAGACCCCCCCCTCCCCACACCGCCTTCCGCTCAACGTCGAAACGCCGAATAACACATCGCGCGCAGCGTCGAGGCGGGGAAAGCCGCCGAACGAGCGGGCGCGCGCGCGGCGGGTCCCTCTGAGCGGACAGGGACAGCACCCACGCGCGCGCACACCTCGACAAACAAACAAACAAATGCATATACACAAAATTATATTGTGTTTCCCCGTTGTTTTTCTGATCGGCACGAGCCCTCGCACCCTCGCACCCCCTCCATGGAGTAGATCTCCGTTGTTTTGGGCGCTTGTTTCAAGCAGGTGGAGCAAACGCGCGTTCCAAACAATCGCGGGGCGCCCCATGGGAGCACCGTTCCAAACAGTCGCATTGAGCAGAGGCCCGGAGCCAGACACCCCCCCCTCGCCGAATGCCGAAACGCCGAATCGCGCGCCGCGCCGAGGCCGGGAAGGTCGCCGAACGGGTGGACGCGCGCGCGGGGCGGCCCCTTCAGAGCGGGGTTGGGCGGGGCGCGGGGAGGACACAATCGCACACGTGATCACACGTGAACAAACAAACAAAAAAACAAACGCACACACACACACACACACACACACACACACACACACACACACACATTCACACACACACATACACAAAGTGCTCGTGTCTCATACATTGTTTTACCGATCGGCGCGGACGCTCGCGCAACCCCCCGCGGAGTAGATCCCGGCTGTTTTTGGCGCCTGTTTCAATTTGGTGGAGCAAGCGCCGGGGCGGCAAACAGGGGGGTGGTGACTAGGGGGGGATATCATGGCGGGGCCCATGATATCTCCCCAGATTTCATTCGGACAGGCATAGAACTACACTGTGGGCGAGTGGATTAGCTTCTTCCGCGGATCCCGAAATTCCAAACTTACTTTTGCGGCATCGTCTTACGTATTGGTTCGCCCGCCATTCGAGGGGGCCGATCGCGCTTGTTGGATTTGCCAGGGCCTCGGCGCGTCTTGCCATTGTCAGTCTGGAACCAAGGCTTGCGCCTCACGAGTGGATTGGAGGATGAGCGCAAGGTGGGTCTTTCAGCTGCGGGGGGGCGCGGGCGTTTGCCGCCGCGCAGGGGCCAGGGGCAACTAGGAAACGCTCAGGGAAATGGAGGGCGGCAGGTAGAGGTAAAACGGGGGAGGGGGAGGGCGAATCAGCGGGCGGGAATGGTGAACATAGTGACCAGGCGAGATACTCTGATTGGGGGAGCGACGCGGGCGGAGGCCGCAGTTGGAATTCCTTCTGGTAGCCCCGGGACGTTCAGACACCTCCGCCCGGAGGCCGGCAGGGGGTTCAGCGGCCCTTGCCTTCCTGACTCTGCGGGCGGGGCGCGACGACGTACCCGACGTGTACCCCGCCCCTTTCGCTAGGTGCCGGTCTGTGCGCGCTCGCCCCGCGCGAGACATCCAGCGCGTTCAGAGCTACACTTAGCCGTGCACTAGGCGCAGTTCTGCACGCGCTGGTTTCGCCGGAGACATCCCCACAAAACGGAGCACTTATAGAACTACACCTGGCCAGCGGGGCGGGGCGCATGTCGGGCGCCGCCACTCGCGCCCCCGACGTGTACCGCGCCCCGGCCGCTAAGTGCCGTTCTGTACGCGTCCCCTTTTCGCGAAGCATCGGCTGCCCGCGCTGCCCATCGCCGAGGCCCCGCCCCTTTGGCCGCTCCCCGCCGACATCCCACATCCCCTGGTTCAGCGAAGCCAGCCGTATGCCTG